TTTGCACGCATGTTTAAGAGGCAATTTTCTAGTCATTATGTGCAGGGAAATCAGATGCAACGTGCACTGACATGATGTACAGATCTCATACCTAAACTCCACTTCAACCAGGCTGAGCTCCCGGAGGTCTGCACTCAGCTCAAAGGCCCTGAGAATGGGGTCTTCTTCAGTCAGCATGATCAGAGAGGGGCTGGCCAGGCAGCGGTAGATGTCCAGCCGAAACCTGGCAAAAGTGGTGGTAAAAGGAAAGGGTGTGAGGAGAGAAACCGAAATCTAGACTTAATCATTCAACCATGTAGCTGTTCATTTGTACCGGCAGTGTTGTTTACCAAACCAAACTGCAGACCGATCATTTAGCTAACTGTGTGGGAAGCAGAGAGAACAAATCGCCATCAGCAGAATCTCCTCTGCAAGTCGTATTCTTCCCCAGAGGAAATACTGCTTCCCTGAAAATGACTGCTTGTATTGGTGTACTGTATATTCCAGCGTAAAAACGTTTGAAGTGATTAAATATAACATGATTACTCTCCACAGCTAGATTAAGTAAAGCCAGGCGATAACAGAGACCTTCAAGACTCCTCTGTGGGACAAAGGGAACACTGTAAGCTCTCATGGTACTGTAATAAAGATGAAAGCAGCATGCATACGAGTCAATGCGTATGACAGTAAATCATTCCTTTCCGTCTAGATGACATTCCCCAGCTGATGCTATCATCAACACAAGGTGCCGTGCTGTTAAAACCTTCCTGACAGACCAATTGAAACATTGCAGTTTTAGCCCGTACATGCCAGAGCAAGGGCCAAAACAAATCATTGCTTGAAATAACACAGGGATAATCTCAGAGACAAAAGTGATTTCTACCGAGTCCTTTGGTTCACCTATACTCTTATACAGTATGTTCTGCATGCTACAGCATCACAAGGCCCGTACCTGGAGTGTCGTAAGCTGTCCTTTTTGTTCTTAGCGTTGCAGAGCGTGCACTCGCAGCCGACAGCATGTGGCCGGGGAAGAGAGATGTCCTGTTTCAGCAGCATGGTCAGGATCTCGTAGTTGTTCCTGTGGGCCGCCAGGATGACCGGAGCCACGTCCATGGTGGTGGAGTATTCTGGGTTCTGAATCCGCTGCATCAGTTTCTAAATGAAGATAAGAAATACGTGGATGTAAAGCTGGATGAAAGTGCAGAAAAGAGAGGATTTATAAGCTGTAATGCTCACAGCAATGGAGGGCTTGGAGGATCTCCTGGGCCTGTGGTTGAGGAGGATGTCCACAGCTCCCACCACCTCAGAGTCTATGGCCACCAGCAGGGCATCTGTCGCCTGCACAGAAACAAAGAAGCCTTAAAGGTCCCCTATTATGCTGTTTTTCATCAATATATCACGGGTCTCAGATATTTACGAACATGTCTCTGAAGTGTTTGCCTCAAAACACCAAACAGATCATTGCAGCATTACCCAGAATCCCCTCTGTTTCAGCCCTGTTTCCAAAGTGCTGATTCTCTGTCTGTTACTTTAGATGAAAATAAGGAGCCCCTCCCCACGCCCCTCTGAGAGACATTTGGTTACAAAGAACTCAATGGTGCTCTAGGAGGAGATTCAGGTGATAAGGGGGGGGGGGGAGACATGAAGAAGAGGGGACACATGTTGATGTAGAAGAGACATGAAGAAGAGGGGACACATGTTGATGTAGAAGAGACATGCAGAAGAGGGGACACATGTTGATGTAGAAGAGACATGAAGAAGAGGGGACACATGTTGATGTAGAAGAGACATGAAGAAGAGGGGACACATGGTGATGTAGAGGAGACATGAAGAAGAGGGGACACATGGTGATGTAGAAGAGACATGAAGAAGAGGGGACACGTGTTGATGTGGAAGAGACATGAAGAAGAGGGGGGACATGTTGATGTAGAAGAGACATGAAGAAGAGGGGGGACATGTTGATGTAGAAGAGACATGAAGAAGAGGGGACACATGTTGATGTAGAAGAGACATGAAGAAGAGGGGACACATGTTGATGTAGAAGAGACATGAAGAAGAGGGGACACATGTTGATGTAGAAGAGACATGAAGAAGAGGGGACACCTGTTGATGTGGAAGATACATGAAAAAGTGGATTTTGCGTAATAGGTGACTAATCTAAATAAATAAAAACACAGCAACCGTAAAAAGTGATTTTTTTTGTGTGCATGCATTGTTGTTTCTTGACTGTGTGTTTACCTGGCAGCCATGTTCCAGGAGGAGCTGCAGGATGTCTAGATTCTCGTTCTCGATGGTGATGGTGATGACATCTCGGCCCAGGACGTCCACGCAGTTCAGGTTGAGCTCGCCGTGCCGGTTCTCCTCCAGCAGCTTCTTCACCATGTAGTAGTCGCCTGAGAGACCCGGTGGAGACAAAGCACCGTGAAAGAGGGGAATGCACTTATGACCAAAGTCAAATCCATACAATCTGTGAAGTATTATGTGCCCTATGGCAGCAAACACACAGCTTCTGTCATAAGGCTCACGCAGCAGGCTCAGCTCCAGCAGGAAGCTCATGTGTAACAATAACATCTCCCTCAAAGGACACTTTCTGTTGCTGAGCCATGTTTAGAGAGGCTTTATATGGTCACAGGGGCCTGGAAGCTAACCCTGCCTGTGCAATGTTCCCAACTTATCAATGAAATATTCTCCTCCCATCTCATGAGAATGCACATAGCTCAAATGTAGTGTATTTGCATTAATTCTCCCTCTTAGGAGCTGTGAAAACATAGCAAACCATGTGGAGGAACTAAGCTAAAAGCAGCTAAATATATCCTAAACCCAGTGGGCACACTTCCACAGTGGGCAGCATGTAGGCAGCTGTGAGAGGCATTCACTGAGAAAAATTAGGTTTGCTGCGTGCATCAATGACCCTGCAGGAAAATCTGTTAGTCATGATGTACTCCACCTGCCAGCTGATAGCACATTTTATTCTTTAATTGTCTTATTTAATCATTTTTGCTATAGCCCACAACACAGAAAATCACTGAATTCCAACACTAACATGCATTTAGACTCATAATTAACGCACAAAATGGAATTTGCCTTTTTGGGGGGGAAATAAGCAAATATCAACAGACCTTTCTCGCATGCCAGCAGGAAGAGCTTCTCATCCAGCGTAGTTTCCTCCTTCACCTCTCTCACGTCTTTCAAGGCCAGAAATTTATCCGGAGAGGAAGTGTCCGTGCCCTGGTACAGAGCTGCCATTACGACGGAGAGCGAGTACGGGCAAACACTGATGTGCATCCCACTAGAAACCAGCGACCATTACACAAGAAAGCCTGTCATAAGGGCTGACATGAGAGCAGTGTTGTTGCGCAGCAGAGCCTTTAACGCGTCGTCATGAGGCAAAATGGATTTCATCAAGTGTTGTTGTTTCCTTCGCATCTCTGCTGATTGCTTTATCACTGCGCTGGGTTAAAACGTCACCTCCTTCAGTCGTTGTGTCTTCAAACTGCGGGATTATACATGCAAGTGGTCGGATAAAAGCTCACAGTCCTCTCCCATGGGCTGTGTTTACATGCACCATCTTCTGGCATCGCAGAATCCTGGAGATCTTTGTGGTCCTGATGCTACTGCTCAGGCTGCTACTGCGCATGTTCCCTCCTCCACCTGCTCTTTCATTTCGCAGGCGCAAAGCTGCTGTGCCTCAGAATTACGTAAAAGGGCACTTGAGTGCAGCCTTGTACTGACTATCAGTGTGTGTGTGTGTGTGTGTGTGGTGTGTGTGTGTGTGTGTGTGTGTGTGTGTGTGTGTATGTATCTGTGTGTGTGTGTATGCAGAGATACTGTTCTTCACATACTGCCAAAATACGTTGTGCACATTATTGCACGTTAAACAGAATACATGCAGATAAGCATTCATGTGAACATGTCCTTAAAATTGATGTGTTCGGACATGCATGGGTGAAATTGACTGCATATGGAAAATGGAAAGAGTGGGAGACACGCAGCTTTGCACAGAAACCTAGAACACCCTAAAACGCCTTAAAAAGCTCGCATATTTCACTCACTCTGATGCCGTCTGTGGCAATGCTGTGTCCTCTTCCATTACACCTGAAAAAGCCAACACAGAATATTATAAATGAAGTCTGAGCGTTGCAAGAAAAGCTCAGACATTGCATGTGAAAAAAAGCCATTTTATTTTTGCAGCCTCCCAAAAACGCGTTAATCGAACTGAAATTAATAAGTAAGCAAAAAAAGAACATTATGTTCAATAGGATTCATGCTTTTCTTTTTAGCTTTTAATAAAGTAAAGTACTCAATTAACCTAATAAGTTACTACAGTTAATTACAGAAACTGCTATTCAATATTCTCTAAGTGCTTTCATTTGATTACTTCCCACTGACCAATATAGGCCTACATAATTAACCGTAGTTTAGTAAACCTCAATGTTAATGGATTGATCCTTAACATTAATTATATAATTGGAAATGTGAGAAACTTGCTGTTATGTCATCATTATTATTTGTTATGCCTGATGAGAGTCTGTTTTCAGTCTGAAATCTGTTTCTTTGTCTTGTTTGGAAACACGACTGTCCAGCAGAGGGCAGTGTGCACAAAGGATTAATAGCCTATATGCATTGTATGAGTACAGTATGAGTACATATGGGGTGGAAAGATCACACAGAGCATTACGAGCAGTCATTCATTGCATACAGTAAAAATAATCCAACGTATATATAAATATATACTCTTTTTAAAAGCACTTACACACAGAGCGTTACATGATCTGTAGCAGATGTTCTAAGAGAAACAGTGAGGGCGTACTGTCGACATTTTGTAAACAGACCTATTATTGCGAAACAGTGAAAGAAAGGTTCCAAGTTGTATCAAAGAAGTTGAATAGAATTAAAAAACATGACCAAAAAAATTGCAATTTGGATAACACACTCCTATTGATTTCTCTTCACGGGGTCAAAGGGCCCCTGTTTTGGGATCCCAAGCCTCTCAGGAAGGATGATTTTCCAATCTGCAGAGCATGCGGTCTCCTCTGTTCAAACACAGCCTTGCAGCTCCTCGGGAACGGCTGTCAGATGTCACACTGGAGCTGATTCCACTTGAGAGAGGTGCCACTCACATCCCTGCTGCACACTGTCTCAATACATGGAGAAAAACACAGTAACAGGAAGCTATTTTGCAAGTCATGTGTGTATGGTATACCTTTAATTAACCATTTCGAATACATATGGTTAGTTTGTCCTGAAAAGAAAGATGTTTATTAGTTGATTATGCCTTTCAGGGTTGAGGTTATACATGCATTATTACACAAGGATATCAAACGAACCAAACATATTAAAAAAGGGCTTTGACGTCTTAGGCTAATATGACGTATATATGAAAAACAAATGGCACAATGGCACAGAGCCAGATGATTGTAAACAAAAGAAAATAGGGGTGTGTGGGTTGTGTGAACATGAAATCCTGAACACTTGCACCTGGAATAGTGTTTTAAATATTGGGGTGGATTGTGGTTACTAGGACGCAGATAGAGATGAAGGCCTCTCTGAAACATAACAACAGCATCACTCCCCACAGTCTACCATTGCTGCGATCTGTGGGAGCCAGAGAGGAGCCCTGCAGAGTGACAGGCGTGCAGCACAGCCAATGGAGAGGCTCGCTGACGCACGACGCGGACCAATCCAGTGCCTCTGTGGGCGGGGATTCCTCCGTGCATTCTGATTGAATCGGTCCAGTTTGTATTAGTTGGACGAGCAAGGAAGGGGGAGCAGGAAGAAACGAGGGAGGGGGTTACCCTTTCAATAAACTGTGTGGAGATACCGCCCGGGCGTTGCTCTGTTTTCCCAGATGCGGAGTGATTTGAGAGAAAGCAGGGCGCGCCAAATCGTGACGTCTTATTGTCTGAGATGTCTGGATCTTCCCAGGCTGCCTGTACGAGGATGCATCGGATGAGAAGTGCGCAGGGATGCCTCCGTTGAACATGCACAAACAGGGCGTCTGTTACCATGTTGCTATGATGAAGGCTCCTTCCTTTTTGTTGTGATCCGCGCACCGCTCTGTGGACACAAAACGCTCCTTTCGTCCGTTCCCATGAAGAGCATTGCGCACTGCAGTGAAAACAGGATATCGTGTTGTGGATTTTGAATTGGCTGGTGAGTATTATACCTAATGAGCTGCTACTCATCTGGGTATCAATCCCCCCCCAGTATAAGCTGGTGCATCCTGCAAGAGCGTGTTGCTACACGTTCAATGTGAGCAGCTTTGTCCAGTGGTGAGAGCCACTCTCCAAAGGGAACAGATGAGAGGCCAAACCAATACCATCCACCACTGAAGTTGACAGCGCCTTGGGAGAAGGATGCTGGCTTTGGGAGGAAGCTTAAAACCTACAGGAATCATACACCAAGATAATAGCACAGCCTGGGCTCGTGAATGAAAGTCCTCCGCAGGAAGAGGATTGTGTTATTCATGGCCTACTTCTTACTGCTGGTCCTCACGATGCTTTAACTTGGCTAATTATAAATGGACCTAAGGAGCCTCAGCAGTGTAACCATCAGATGAGGAGCAACCACTTATCAGGGCAGATCTGACATTCGCTTCTGTACAGGCCCCTCTCTGGCTAAAAAGAGCAGCTCATCTACGTGCTGACCACCTGGAGGTCGGGGTCCTCCTTTTTCGGGGAGCTTTTCAACCAAAAACCCAGAAGTGTTCTTCTTGTACGAGCCATGTGGCACATCTGGCAGAAACTGTACCCTGGCGACGCGGTGTCTTTTACAGGGAGCAGCCAGGGAACATGCTGAGCTCCTGTGTACCGCTGCGACCTGTCTGTTTTCCAACTTTACAACAGCCCCGGGGGCAAGAATTTTACCTCCCTGGGGCTGTTTGGGCCACCCTCAATAAAGTGGTGTGCTCCTACCCCCTCTGCTCAGCCTACAGGAAAGAGGTGGTGGGGATGGTGGACGATAAGTTGTGTAAAAAGTGCACCCCTCAAAGCCTTAGACTTGTTGGAGGAGGAGTGCCTCAAATATAGCACCATAGTCCATTAAAGGGGTACGCATTTTGGACGTTAACGTGCTGGCCCCCCTCATGGAGGACCCATCGTTGGATTTGAAGGTGATACACCTGGTCAGCAGACCCGCGGGCCGTGGCTAACTCCAGGATCAAATCCAGACACGGCCTGATAAGGGAGAATTTACAAGGTGGTGGTGCGCAGCAGGGATCCTAAACTTCGCCGATCCCTTTCGTGGATCCGGTCACAAAGCCACAAGAAGGACGGCGCGGACTACCACTCCATCGGAGCCATGGAGGTGATCTGCGACCCGCACCTCCAGGACTTTGAGGACTGCCTTAAACCCGCCCAGCTGGCTGAAGGGGAAATACATGGCGGTGAGGTACGAGGACCTGGTGGAGAACCCCGTAAAGACCCTGAAGAACATCTACCACTTCGCCAACCTCACCGCCAACCACGACACATCGAGACGTTTGCCCTGAACATGACCAGCGGCTCCAGCTCCTCTTCCATAGCCCTCATCGTCTCGTCCAGGAACGCCACACAAGCTGCTAGTGCATGGAGAACAGTGCTGAGCATTCAACAGATCAAACAAGTGGAGGACTACTGCCACCACGCCATGTCTGTTCTGGGCTACGAGAGAGTCAGAACAGCCGGGGAGGCCAAGGACTTGAGCAAACCACTACTGACACACTCCAAACTGTGAAATCGCCACCAAAGACCTTTAATTTAATGTTGCATCGAGTGCCGTTTCTTCTTCTTATCGTGGAATTAAAAAGCTTTACTTTGAATCACTGTTGGAGGAGCTCCACTGGCCTCACTGGGAATGTATCATGTTTCTCTCCGTTGACTCGCAGTGGTGTTTGAAGGGACCACTTTCTTTTATACTGGAATATTGGATGTGTTTGACAATGCAAAGGCCGTTTGATCAAGGATTTTAATAGTGAAGCTGCAAGGAAAAGGAAAAAAGAACAACTGTATACTTCATGTATCTTGTTATGATGACATTTCAAAGTGGGGTTATTTTTTTGAATGTTCCAACCTTACAAAAAAAAACTGTTTTTTCAGTCTCCATACTGTCTGTGAAAGTGAAAATAGTTGATGAAAGAACAAAAAAACAAAACAAAGAACTGAGAAAAAGCCCATTGCTGATGTGTTTGTAAGACCTGGTTTAAGTCCGAGACAATCAATTGGTTTGTTGATGTGCCATAGGTAGAGGTGTGATGACTAGGCTACACCGGTAGCAGCGTTTAGTGCTACGTCTAGATTTCTAAAAGATATGTTTTGATTTCTCACTAAATCCTCATAGGATGATATCATGCACTGTGTCATGGCTCTGGAGGGGGAGTCTCTCTGTGTCAGTGTAAGCAGTCTGTTCTACCATTTCAAATGCTTGCTCTTATAAAAACACATGGTCTGGGAATATTGCATTGAGTAAAGTTCACAATTAACAAGACGGTTTTTACGCTTTTGTGTCGAAGAGAACCCACACTGCTGTGCATGTAAATCATGATACAAAATATACAAAAACGGTGGTTCTCAAAGTACGGTGCATGAGGAACAGTTACACATTTAAAGGGGCGCTATTACACAGATTTTCAGGGTCATAGTTGTGTTTTAGTGGCTCGACTGTGACATTTTGACTTGCTTTAATGCTCAAAAAGCTCTTTATTTGTCTCATTTACATACACAAAAAACACACTACAGGGAAAGGGAAAACCACCAAAAGCATAATACTGGATGTAATCAATACTGTTGTTAACAAGATATGCTATTAACATATATTTTAATAACAAAGATTTTTCCTTTTTCCAGTGCCTTTCCTCACCATTTGAGAACCATAGTGCAGGAGTAATGTCACACATGTGTTGCTATTAGCCTACATAACTTAAAGGCCCCCTGTGAAGTTTTACTGTAAACACATTTTCTACCATCAGCGTTTCTCACCCACAAAAATGTGTGTATTCTGGAGGTCTAAGCGATAGGTGTTTAATTCATATTTTACTGGTTTAAGTCGATGTTTCATTTCTAGCAGTCTGCATTTGCTGATGCCTTTCTTGTGATTAACAGCTGCTTTCACTTCAGTAGAAAGGCTCATAGCACGCATAAGCATTTGTGAGAACGAAAACAAACAAAGGAACCAAAACAATGTTCCTCTTTAATGATTCTAGTGGTCAAAAACTCCACAGGGTGCCTTTAAGTACGTGTCGTAAAGTGTGCTTCCTAATAATTAGAAATACTGTATTCATTATTCACTCTGACAAATCGGCTCAAAAAGGGAAATACACTTTTATCAAATGACTTGAATGCAAAGGTAAAAGTCTAACAAAGCTGAATTTCCACCACCTACTCAATCCAGATTTCAATGCGAGCGCTGAGATTTACAGATTTGATCTCGCTTCAGTAAAACAGCTCAGTAACATTCGGTTTTGCAATACTCAAAGTGCCCAAAAATGATTTATGAAAAGCTCAGAACTATTGCAAGCCCTCGTTTCTCCGCTGGGCGCTGACACTGCACTTGATTTTTAAAATGTCAAATTTGTATGTTTCGATATTTAGATCATCACCGACAGAATGTGTTATTGTGCATTGCGTTGGGATGATCAGGTAATAGATCAAAAACACAGCAAAACTAGTCAAATTAGACGAGAAATCTAAGAGGACCGGCTCCTTTAAGGATGTAAATTGAGGGTGCTTCGCTCTTATAATCAAGTAGAAAACGAAGGACACTGCATGTATTTTTCTTGCAGCCATTGAGGGAGTGAAACGGAGCAGCATTCCAACGATTGCAGCCATGCATTCACATCACAACATAGACAGTGCCTCAGTTAAAGTTCAAGGACAATGGCGTTATTATTAATGCGAGGGAAACAGTTTGCATATTCACACACAGATTGATTTGTGCTTTACACAACACACCCCGCCTCACACAAAGGGGGGGCGGGGGGTGGTAGCCCCAGAGATTTATAATGACTCACTGAGGAAGCAGCAAAGAGCAATCTATAAAGAAGTCAGAGAAAATGCTCACATGTTTAATCGGCTTCTTTGCCAAATGCTGTTAATACACTCTGGAGGTCTTCTAGCCCATGATAAGCAAGTGGTGATAAATAAACATTTTGAATCAGTTAAAGGATTGTAGCGGAAAACAGTGCAATACAAGTTTAATAAGGAGTTAGGGAGGTTGGCACGCAAATACCATTTCTGCTTATTAAGGGAAATACAGTGGCTTTCAATCACAGCAGATATTCATAAGTAATTGTCCCCAAAAAGCCAGAAGCAAAGACCTAACTGTAAAGCTTCGAGCTGCTGTACTGGAATTTAAAGTGTGTTTTCTGTGTGAAAAGTAGACCGAGCGAGCACACACTTAAAAAGCAGGATCTATTAAATTCCTTAACTGGAGCCAAAGCAGTGCAGCAGGAAGTCATTTCTCCCCGAGTGTGTCTTTGCATGCGCGTCAGAACAAGAGGAGTGCATGACCTTTTTTTCGGGAGGCTACTGACTCCCGATTGGCTCCTCTCAGATGACCCCACTCATGGACATTTCCTCAGGGCAGGTATAGGATTGGAGGTGAATCCTGCAGCTTCAGGTGATAGCAGGAGGATCGGTGCCGAGTCCCAGATCTCCCTCCAGCAGGTCTTCTTGGTGAGCTGATCCACAATCACCTCCTTCAGATCCGAACCCCTCCTCCGTTTTCTCCAAATCGAACGTAGAGTCGTCGGGATCTGCCTCACACACCTGCTCTTCGTCCTGAATGGTACGTAGAAAATCATGCATTTTATTTTCCCTGTTCTGAGGATATTTGAAGAATGTAAAAAAACTCAAGATGTGTCTTACCTCCTGGACATGGGGGCAGCTGAAGAGTCTGGCAAAAAGCCCACAGCACTGTGGCAGTGTGTCGGTGAGGGGGGGGCCGCAGTGTGTCAGCAAGGGTTTAAGAAATCTGTGACCTTGTTAAGGCTTGTTGGCAAAGGTGTGTTAGAGTCAATGAGTGTGAACAGGAGAGGGAGAAAGTGTTTCCAAACCAGAGCTGAGGCAAAAGGGTTCTAACAGTAGTAATGTAAGTTAAACCAGAGCTCACCCGGGGAGAATTCAGTGAGATCTTATGTGAAAAATTGTGTATTTAGAGAGTTCGTAAAGGGTCAGAAGATCAATGTGTGACGTCTTAGTTGTATTAGGGGCCTATGACGCTATTCTCAGGTTCATATCAGTGTGTAGTGTCTCTACTTTAAAGAGTCCCTCTCCTGCTGATGTTCAGGTGTATATCAGTATGTAGTGTCTCTACTTTAAAGAGTCCTCTCTCCTGCTGATGTTCAGGTGTATATCAGTATGTAGTGTCTCTACTTTAAAGAGTCCTCTCCTGCTGATGTTCAGGTGTATATCAGTATGTAGTGTCTCTACTTTAAAGAGTCTCTCCTGCTGATGTTCAGGTGTATATCAGTATGTAGTGTCTCTACTTTTAAAGAGTCCTCTCCTGCTGTGTTTTAGTGTGTATATCAGTATGTAGTGTCTCTACTTTAAAGAGTCCTCTCCTGCTGATGTTCAGGTGTATATCAGTGTGTAGTGTCTCTACTTTAAAGAGTCCTCTCCTGCTGATGTTCAGGTGTATATCAGTATGTAGTGTCTCTACTTTAACGGTCCTCTCCTGCTGATGTTAAGGTGTATATCAGTATGTAGTGTCTCTACTTTAAAGAGTCCTCTCCTGCTGATGTTAAGGTGTATATCAGTATGTAGTGTCTCTACTTTAAAGAGTCCTCTCCTGCTGATGTTCAGGTGTATATCAGTATGTAGTGTCTCTACTTTAAAGAGTCCTCTCCTGCTGATGTTCAGGTGTATATCAGTATGTAGTGTCTCTACTTTAAAGAGTCCTCTCCTGCTGATGTTCAGGTGTATGTCAGTATGTAGTGTCTCTACTTTAAAGAGTCCTCTCCTGCTGATGTTCAGGTGTATATCAGTATGTAGTGTCTCTACTTTAAAGAGTCCTCTCCTGCTGATGTTCAGGTGTATATCAGTATGTAGTGACTGTACTTTAAAGAGTCCTCTCCTGCTGATGTTCAGGTGTATATCAGTATAGTGTCTCTACTTTAAAGAGTCCTCTCCTGCTGATGTTCAGGTGTATATCAGTATGTCGTGTCTCTACTTTAAAGAGTCCTCTCCTGCTGATGTTCAGGTGTATATCAGTATGTATTGTCTCTACTTTAAAGAGTCCTCTCCTGCTGATGTTCAGCTGTATATCAGTATGTAGTGTCTGTACTTTAAAGAGTCCTCTCCTGCTGATGTTCAGGTGTATATCAGTATGTAGTGTGTCTACTTTAAAGAGTCCTCTCCTGCTGATGTTCAGCTGTATATCAGTATGTAGTGTCTCTACTTTAAAGAGTCCTCTCCTGCTGATGTTCAGGTGTATATCAGTATGTAGTGTGTCTACTTTAAAGAGTCCTCTCCTGCTGATGTTCAGGTGTATATCAGTATGTCGTGTCTCTACTTTAAAGAGTCCTCTCCTGCTGATGTTCAGGTGTATATCAGTATGTAGTGTCTCTACTTTAAAGAGTCCTCTCCTGCTGATGTTCAGGTGTATATCAGTATGTAGTGTCTCTACTTTAAAGAGTCCTCTCCTGTTGATGTTCAGCTGTATATCAGTATGTAGTGTCTCTACTTTAAAGAGTCCTCTCCTGCTGATGTTCAGCTGTATATCAGTATAGTGTCTCTACTTTAAAGAGTCCTCTCCTGCTGATGTTCAGGTGTATATCAGTATGTCGTGTCTCTACTTTAAAGAGTCCTCTCCTGCTGATGTTCAGGTGTATATCAGTATGTATTGTCTCTACTTTAAAGAGTCCTCTCCTGCTGATGTTCAGCTGTATATCAGTATGTAGTGTCTCTACTTTAAAGAGTCCTCTCCTGCTGATGTTCAGGTGTATATCAGTATGTAGTGTCTCTACTTTAAAGAGTCCTCTCCTGCTGATGTTCAGCTGTATATCAGTATGTAGTGTGTCTACTTTAAAGAGTCCTCTCCTGCTGATGTTCAGGTGTATATCAGTATGTAGTGTGTCTACTTTAAAGAGTCCTCTCCTGCTGATGTTCAGGTGTATATCAGTATGTAGTGTCTCTACTTTAAGAGTCCTCTCCTGCTGATGTTCAGGTGTATATCAGTATGTATGTCTCTACTTTAAAGAGTCCTCTCCTGCTGATGTTCAGGTGTATCAGTATGTAGTGTCTCTACTTTAAAG